TTGTGCCGAATTTTATACGTCTTGTGAGATGCTTTACCAAATTCAATGAGGTGCTTGCGGGCCTTGCCTGTATGGGGGAAAGATCTTCACTAATGCTGTAATTGGAGTCTTTTAGTTTTTTAGCGTTGGACAACACTAGGTCTCGGTCCTTGAAATGGCAGAACCGGACAATGATGGGCCTGTTTTTGTTTGGTTGAAAACGCCCTATGTGGTGAGCACGTTCGATGTCTCAAGGTTGGACTGAAACTTCAAGATTGGCAAGACATAGATCGATGACGCACTTCTCAGACTGTGCCCAAGTCTCGTCACTGACATCTTCAAAACCGTAAAAAACAAGGTTGGATCGTCGCTGTCTGTCCTCAGAGTCGTCCATCCTGGCGACAAGGCTAGCGATATCGCCGCAGTTTTACTCAGTTAGTGTCTGCAAGCCATCGACCTTTCCTTTTGCCGTGGCTATTACAGAGCAGTCGTCTTCAATTTTAGAGAGTCTTTTAGTGATTTCTTCAAATTTCTCCTCGTGTTGCAGCAGCGTAGAACGAATAGATTTTATTTTGTTAAGGATGGCTGCCTGTCTGGACTGGATTTTGCTGAGGACAGACATAATGTCGCTAGAGGTTTCAGCATTAGCGGACCGAGTTGCAGGGCCTGGGTTAGTCTCGATATCGTCACTTAATAGCAGCAACACTCGCAGGGCATGAATACATCTGCAACAGTTGCGGCTCGGCAGCACTAGCAAAGCAGCGTATTTGGTACGCTTGGAAAACAGGGAACAGGAATTTTTTACCTGCACAAAAAGCAGGTGTTGCAAGTGAGTGCGGGCCATCGCTGGGGTGCTGCCGAGCCCACTAAAGAGTGCGAGGCCTTTGGTGAAGTTTTTATTGTAGCGGTGTGACGTAAGTACTGTTTCTGTGCCTCGCGACCATGAGGGGAAGGGCAGCAGCAGTGACGGAGGCACAAGCAGGAACATTGAAGAGCATTCGTGCGGTGCGGGCGGCAGGGTATCCACGGCACAAGGCAGATGGCGAATCCTGGCTGTTGGGTTCAAAGCGTGCCGCGGGTGCTCAGCCTGGGGGGCCGGGCTCCGATGTGCAGCGTACTGCACATCGGAGCCCGCAAAGAATATCTGCATAAAAGAGTGTTGCAAAGAATATCTGCATAAAAAGCAGGTGTTGCAAGTGAATGCGAGCCATCGCTGGGGTGCTGCCGAGCCCACTTCAGATAGATTTAGGTGCACGACAAAAAAACCTCTTGTGGTCAGAGTCTCGAGCCTCACACCACGGCGTGCCTCCTAATGATATCATGGTTTTGGCACATAATATATTATATCCTTGCATGCGCCTTAGCCGCGGGCGATATACAGCTGCCACTATGAAAGCGAGCTGAAGAAAGAACCGAGGCGCCAATAAAATTTCGGATGCTTTTGCGAAAATAGATGCGGTTATCAAGGGCAAATCTTGGCGTAACAAAAAACATGCTTGATCCTACTGGGTACTGTGTAGTATGACGAAGACCAAGTGAATGGTCAAAACAAACGAAGCAACATTTGAATCAGTGAACACTACGCTTGTGTGAATAGTGAATTTTAGGTTCAAAGCAAATAGTGATTTTGATTGAATAATTTCTAATCGAATTCGAATGGTATGTATGATGTATAAAACAAAGGGAATATTTATCATGACCTAACTAACCTGCACAATATTTCTTTTGAATTGAAATAGGGGCTCTATGCAAATGCCTTTTTTTTTTCGTTCAAAGTAAGTCGAAACAACTTTGTGTAGTAGTTTGGGTACGATGCGAGTGATAACCTGTTAGATACTTCACGTTTTAAAATTTATTATACCTGGAGCATATAAGCCATCATAACGAGCTTAATAAAATGAAGAATTGATTTGAGGGCAACATGTTCATTCAAAGGCGCCCTGCAACACTTTTTAAGTAGCCATGGAGGCAGTAAACATGCTTGTTGCCTCGCAAATTTACCGCAGCAAAGTTTCTAGAATCAGTTCAGTACGAGCAGAGTTTCGAAAATTTGTCGCACGCTGCAATTGCATTCTCTCTTCTCGTCCCGACAAAAGAGCTGGAAGCTAAGCAGGGAGGAATGGCACGGCGAAATAAAATACGTCACACGCGCCTCGTGACCTTGAGCACTTTTTTTTTTCTTCAAATACGCTGCTTTTTAGTGTGATTGCACAGGTACTCTAGGACACGCGGCGGCTCCGGTAAAGATGAGCGCGCCATGCTCAAATCAGCCAATGGCTGTGACCAGAGCCGTATATTTCTGCACATAGATGACTCTGCTCTGTCGTCAACAGTATACCACATGACATGGCAAACATTATTTAACGCAGCATGCGTATTTTATTTATTCGTTGCTTTAAAAGATTAATAAAACTTGGAAATAAATAATGAGATGGAATAAAAAAATTGTGCACGTTTTTCTTTCTTTTTTTTTCCCCCGGGAAATGCTACGAGATTCGGGGCTAATGTGCCAGCGTTTCGCATGCGTTCGTGTCCCCGTGGTCAGCGAATTGAGCAGACAACCGCCGTGGAACGCTGCTATGCGTTCGCACACTCATTGTGCTCCTATGTTGTGCTCATCTACTCTACCGCGTCTAAGCCAGCGTTTCCAAACCATCCCGCAGAAATGGACAGAAGACCACAAAATAACGCTGGTTAACAAAGCAACGCTGCTGGCGTGCTCGGTGGTTGGACTTGTTTGGGCACGTCATGCGCACGTCACCTCATGTTTGGATGCTGGAGAGGGTGGGGAAGAGATTTGGCTTGCGAAGGCTACGCGGAGGAGTGGCAAGGGGTTTGAGCTTGCCTCCTCTCATCCTCGTTTTGTGCCACTTCAAAAAACCTGTTTTGTCCGCTCGGGATGAACCGATTCGAAAAATTTTTGTGGCAAAATGTTCCTCATCGGACATCCAACAACTTCCACTGTCTAACTAAAATTCTGTATGGGGCCTGGTGAGTGGCCCTTTAAATTTCAAGGGGGCTTTGCGGCGAAAAGAATTTCCCCTGGGTAGAGAGAGGCGTTCATGGCTTAGCAACCCTACATTGCAGTGAAACCACCTTTACAGGCGATTACATGCGGGTTAATAATATACAATTATTCATTCATTGCAAATACTTAGAAAATATTCGATAATTTCAATTCGAATCGAAGCGAATTCGAATACTCAACTATTCATTCGAATATTCAAAGCATTCGAATATTCGCACAAGCCTAGTGAACATGCTTTGTGATTAGGCATGCATATTGTCCGAAATGAAACATGCGCTGCTTGAAATACACATGTTCGAAGTGGCCATAAAATACTTTTTTCGTGCTCATCATTATGCTTTCAAAGAAGCTGTAAAAAGAAAAAAATCCTAGGTGGCATCGAACTTACGATGCGGCGTTAACATCCAAAGAAAACCTCGGCAAAAATGAAACTCTTAGGAAACTGAAAACTGCGCATCGCAATTGTGCCAGCGACTCAACTGGGCAGACATATGTTTCGGATTTTCACACTGACCCCCAAATAAAGTTGAAACAGCAGGACACACTTGGCATCCAAGCAATCGAAATCCAAACGCTATATACAAATGATGCCCGCAAAAGCGTAATGGTGGTTTGCTGACAGCTCCGAGAAGACGCAACTGCCACAGCAAATGCGCATTTTGCTGGTAACATACACTTATAATCGCTGTCATCTCACTTTTAATGTCATAGAAATGGGGCTGTTCACTATCGAGACGCACATAGCACTTGCTCAAAGACATCGTGTTTGACTTGCTTGGTCCCGCAAAGGTTGTCAACTAATTGCTCTTTGTTCTGTTGAAAGTCACTCCATAAGAAGGTTTTTACAATCTTTTTAAACCTTCGGAGCTAGTCACAGCTGATGCTTCACGTGCAAGGCGACCAGCAACAGCACGTGCAGAGCGCGTGAACGTGCTAAGAAAGCGCAAGCAGAAGGCGGGAGTGGAGCACCAAGCGAACAGTTTTTGCTATAAAAGCGGCAAAACGCGCGCAGCGCAGTGCCACCTGGCCAAAGTCGGGAGGCCGATAGCGCAGAGCCGGTTATGATGCATCTTCTGGCCAAAGTCGGGAGGCCAATAGCGCAGAGCCGGTTATGATGCAGTCTTTTACGATTCCCATTTACCCTCCCATAGAACCCCATGTATACGCATACCACTTATTGTGCAGTCCCCCCTAATATAAAAGACCGCTTATAATGCGGTTGCCAAAAATCTTTGTGACATGATAAAGAGTGCGCGCCTATAACTGATGTTGTAGGCTTAGCGGGTAGCGATTGGCGCTTCTGAAATATCGGAGGTGTACATTACGCGTTTGTTAGTTTATCCTAATCTACCATAGCCGTCATTTATTCAAGTGCCAGCTTGAGGACACGTCATTTAATTTATGCTGCGCTTTTATTGAAAAATGGGGAGCATAAAGCTTGAAGTGCGTCTCACAGCAGATGCAGACGCACCGTATTGGGTAGCTGTCACCCCCAAGACGGCGTTTCACAGTGACGGAGGCCTTGATAAAAAAAAAAAATCTGCTGTACGACTCCAAACTCGGTGTGTTGCACAAAGTCATGCATAATTTCTGTTAAAAAGAGGAAATTCCGACGGTGCGTGAGCTGATATTACAAGCAGCGCTCCCCGCTTGCTGATGACAGGGCACAGAAGGATGCATTTATGTGCTCGCCTCTTGATTGGTCGAAAAGGACTGTAACTTCCACAGTGCTGCACAGAACTACTGAAACGGAGATATGTGCTGCTTACAAAATAAAAGTTACCAGACCCTTATTTATGCCTAATGGGTATGGTGATTCAGATTCTTAGATCATACTGGATCTTTCGTATGGCATTTACTAGGTACAGCAAACATGGGTGCATATGTGTGTTTTATGTGTGTAAGATGGGTGCAAAAGGTGCGCACCTAGCAACATTACTTCGCAGTTCTTTTTGTAATTGACAGACCAGCACCTCTTGTCTATGATGTGCAGATCTCCGATGTCCGTGTGACCTGTCCACTGGAGCTGTTGACCGGCGACTTCATCAATGCCACCGAAGGGGCAAGAGCCGCACACTTCTACATTGTCGACTACTCGCCAAACATTTCACTCTCCTTCTCCACAAATGCCGAGCCAACCAGGCTCGCGCAGCATGGGCTGGACGTAGCAGCCATCTTTGGCAAAATGTCATCTGCAGCGGGCTCATCAGAGATGCACCGCAATGACCTGCAGTTTGAGCACAACCTGCAGAAGCTGTTCCATAGCTTTGTGCACGCTGGCACGCCATCACTCGGCTCCCAACCCTCAAGGAGAGCCCGTTTGTGAACTACATCAGCGCCAATGTGCGCAGTCGGGCATCCCAGCATGAGCCATGTGCCAGTTGGGAAGAGTACAGTGTGTTCCCTGAATATGCCAAGAAGAACTGATTTTGCATCTTGTGTTCTGTCATCATAACTACTTTCCCCATCGTTTGTTGTGACCCTCGACGAAAACATTAGAAAAGCTGGTCTCTTCACCGGCGTTATGCAGTAATGCTGGTATATCCAGTTGGTGAAGAGTCTAAGGAAAAGGAAAGCTTGCGATTATCAGAAGGCAAGCCAGTTCCTGTAAGTTGATATAATGATTTCCAGCTGCTAATGGCTGCTAAGTAATTGCTTAGGCAGCTTGTTATGCTATCTGGAGGAAGTGTCATTGTACCATGACGGCAATTTAGGACACTGATGATTGCATAAAATTAGTGTCTATCATTGGCTATTGTGCACCAGTCATCATCTAACAGATATATTACAGAAATTCATATATCCATCGGGTTCTGTAAGGTTGCCACACCGAAAATTACTGCAAATGTCCCCAGGACATTCACACATGCATAGCTTCACACCTTCGTGTTCGTGGCTAAGAAGAGGAAGCTGAGGGCCTCAAAATGTGCTGCTACTGGCCAGCCGTTAGTCAAACACAAAGACCAGGAGAGATGCCTAATTTCAAGGTCACCGCGTAATGGGTGCAGCAGTGTTGGTCAAGTGGGGCACTGTGCTCGATTCCCCATTGCAACCCAGGGCTCAGTGTTCTGAATACTCATATTTCATAAGATGGCCTCATCTTCCAGTCCCCTGCCCCAGAAATGGTGAACTGTGCTCGTTTATGAGTTGCAGAAGTAAGTATCTGTAGCTATTGTTTCATAATGGTATGGTGGCACTCTTGAATAGATGACAAGGTTATTTTGAACAGTAACAAGATCAGACTGGCTTTCACGCTAACTAGGGCAGGTGTTCTATAAGCATCATCTCTACTATGGCAAAGCACCAAACCAGTGCTAGGCTTGTACCTGTAGGAAATCATAGGATGCTGTTGTGAGGGCAAAGTATATGGTGCCACCACACCACGTGTCCATCTTCAACTAAACTGGTGAGTTTGGGTGAAAGGGTTTCGAATCGGCCACCCTTCACAGCCCCTCAGCTTCATCTATACATTATCAGCAATATAAATTGTCAGGTCTCTGCATATTCTTTGTTACTGTGCCTGTTCATTTCTTTGTGCTACGCAAGTACTCAGTGTTTTGTGTATCCTTTCGTTAATGAAAGTATCTTATTTCGAGTGAGGACTGCAAGCATTGCAGGGAGTTAGCAAGCATCCAGCAGTTTTAAACGGAACGGATCTCACAAGTTGTCGCCACAGGGGGACTAGACGTGCAGCTGTAGCAACCACTCACTGCCCCTCATCAATCATTGCTCATCAGAGAGAGTGGGACATGTATAAAGCTTTTTATTTGTTTTGTTCCTTGCTTCGACACTTGTGTCATCTCTCATGTTTATCTTGATTTTTCTAAGTGTGTTATGTGTATGTATGCCCAGCATCTCATGTTTCTGTATAAGCGAAATAAAAACCAAAAATAAAGTCTGTACCACAGATTTTCTCAACCACAGTGCTGAATTCAGAAATGGTAGACTGATATTGAACCACGAGGCTTTGAGAGGTGATGTAATGCATTGCTCTATTAAGGATTATCAGTGGTCACTAAATGTTTGTCAATACTCACTGAGAGCTTTGTAGGCAGGTGTCTCGAGTACAGCTGCTGTGGCCAGCTATTACGTAACTATAATATAGTACTTTTCTAAAGTCCACAACTACAAAACTTATACTATGAGGTTTCATGAGATGAAACCTTGAAACAAGTACGAGGCACGCTGTGGTTGTGGGAGTTGGGGTTTCTAGAATAATTTTGACTACGTGGGGTAGTGAAAACGTGCATCCATATGTAAATAGTACACAGGCATTTATACATTTTCATATCAGTGTTTATGGTATATTCAGACCACACAAAATTGTACAGTGCACTTCGAGCTCATTTCATGATGTAGTGTCCAAGTCATTTCGACTACGTAGTTCAACCTAGATAGTACTGTAACAGTTCAGCAGTAATTTTTTCTAATATGCTTTCCATCGTAAACCAAGGCAATTGTAATTACCTATGCTCATTCATGCTGCCAAGTGGTTGCTATGGCTTCAGCACTCTAGCAGGGGATTGCTGGATTGATTGATTGATTGATTGATTGATATCTGGGGTTTAACGTCCCAAAACCATCATATGATTATGAGAGACGCCGTAGTAGAGGGCTCCAGAAATTTAGACCACCTGGGGTCTTTAACGTGCACCAAATCTAGGGGATTGTTGGAATAGGGGTGAATAAATATATTCATGAAGTTCTAATCATTTGCCTGATGACCTTCATCCCACTTCAGCCCTTTGCCAAACTTGCTAACTTGTACCTTGCTGACCACAAAGTACTAAGTATAAGCCATGTTCTCTGGATGTCTTGAGGTTTGGGTTGCCATTTGTCAAGGTCTACTCAATTTAGCACGTGATTCCCCGTATATAGTGAACTTCCTTGCTGATAAGCCATTCCAGACGCATTATTACATTCAAGCTCAACACTTTAATAGCTTTCACTATAACCATTGCAAACACAGCCATATTGCATCGTTTCTACCAATGCCGGTTGTGCATTAGGCCAGCATGCTCACAAATTGTCTAGCTTTGCAATGTAGGCGGTAATGATTTATGGTGTAAGCGGCGGCATTTATGGTGTAGGTGGCATTGGTTTATGGTGTAATGGTGATACTAGCCTCTGGGATGTTTGAATGTGTTCACTAATGCCAGCGTCCCCTTGTTAGGTCTTACTAATAGGTACTTTCTGCATGAAGGCTTTGATGAAGGCTGCATTATCCAAATAATTTTTAATTGACATACTGTAAGAAGCGTGTTGACAAATTGACTAGTGTCAGCCAATACTACAACACAAGAGCCGTTGGAAATCTCTTTTAGAGCTTTGGTTAGTATCCAAACAGGGAGCAATGACAAAAATGCTATTGCCAGTTGTTGGACTGAACGGTACTGCCCACATTGGCCACATATTTTAGGTTAATGTGTAGGCATCTCAGCACAGCCAGTAGAAGCTGCGCTTGTTGAAGTTTCTGCAACCCGATACTGCAAAAACTGGAAACAAGCAGCCCGCATCTTCCCACGGGGGGAACTAAGTGTGTCGCAGAGTGGCGGGGTGTCGCGTGAGTGTTGCGTAGTTGGGTATGGTTTGGGAATACTTAATTGTTATTTTGTCTTTATTATTCTTATTTATTGAATGAAGGAGAAGCGTTGCCTTTAACGAGTGCGGGACGCTGACGTTGGGTTATGCCCCACTACTGGGTGAAGGTACTCTGCTGCCATCGCATCTACTCAAGTGAAGCAAAGTGTCAAGCCAATCGAAAGCCAAGAGGCCTCTGACTGAATTCAGAACGTGCGGTTCAGTGCCTACATATATGGGGTGGCCAGCGAACAATTGTGCAGTGCGAGTAGTCTTTTTTTTTTTTATAGCAGACGCTGCCCGAGTTGACCTTGTGAGGCGAGAGAGGGGAGCGATAGTTAGCACGAGATGCGAGCATGCGCAGTGAAGGTGTGGACGGCGCCGCCGAAACTGGATCCACAACATGGTGCGACTATGTTGAATTCCAATGGCGGAGTCGGTGCAGCCGACCGACTTCACGAGCGAGCACTCGACTCTGGCGTAGAGCAAATCCTCCAAATCCGCCATCGGAACACAACCCGCCCCTGCTGGAGCAAGGCAGAAGCTGCCGCGTTACCCAGGATACCTTGCGCATGGTCTCTTCCGCTGTTCGTTTCCCAGGTGGTTTACCCAAGGAGGTTATACTAAATCTTTAATATAACCTCCTTGGGTTTACCAGCATCGCAGCATCGTTCGTTGCTTGTTCAGCGCTATTCACCTGTGTGGAATGGATATCACGCCAAGCGTGCACAGCTATTGTCCACGCTGTCTGCGATGGTGACCACACAGTATGCGGAGCAACATGGTAAGTGTCTCCTCAATTTCAACACTGTGCTGTAATTGCAAGTTGAATGCAACACACGTGTTGCGTGGAGCGATCGTCTGCACGCGCCTATGTTCATGTTGCAACGTTGCTCTATACTGCTGATGCGATCGTGTCACTGAACGCATCGCATGCGTCAATACCGTTGTTCGTTTGCCTGTGTCCGTGGAGAAACGACAACCTTCGCCGTATTGATCGCACAAACACCGCTGTAAATATACAGCCAAAAGTAACGTGCGCGCGACGCCGCTGTCGCACGGAACGGCGTCATTAGTAAGAAGCGACTTCCTATCACTTTGTAGCCACACGAATAGAAACGAACCGCGTCGGTATAAGGGGGCGTGTTTGGTTATACGGGTAATTTGACCGATTGTCCAAAACAATTTTTTTTGTGCCCCCTACTCCACTCCCGCGGCGAGTCTCCCGATTGCAGAAGGTCCCTAGGTTGGCAGGTAGCATAGCGGCGAGTTGCCTCCAAAGTAACGCTTTTACCGTACAAGCACAAACGCGCGAGCGTTTTAGTACTGCACTACTATGTGGCAAGTTCCAGTGCACTCGCCTTTCAGTGGAAAGCGGCGCAGAAGCAGCTGTCTGCCTTTATATGTCTCGAAGAAACTATAAGCCAGTGTTACGCACCCGAGGAATTTGACTCCCAGGAATTTTAGCTGCAGAGCTAGCAGCGTGAGTGCATGTTCTGCTATCTAATGGGTTGGCAATGTTACCCAAGGTCAGGACATTGAGCACATCTAAATTAGGAATCGGTCTCAGTCCACAGAAATTACGTTGCTTTCCTGGAGTGTCACTGCCTGTTTCGGGCCCTGAAAGATCGTGCTTCATTTTGATTAACAGTCAGCTAGCTGATCAGAAACTCTGTGCATCATGATGAGAGTGTGTAATTCAATCAAGAATGTGCACAATGTGTTGAAGAACTTGCATGCCACCATGTATGCTTACGTGAAATTGTTATTCAGAATTTTGTCTCGTGATGAGATAGCATAGCAAACATAGAGTAAGTGTGTTAGGAAGCCTCACATGGCCTTAGCTTAATTGCGTACATAGTTGCATGAAATTCACATGGTGTTTCAATGTACAGCAATTTATGTCACAGAACACAAATCGTTGGTCGTTATGTCGTTTCATGTGTGCCAGCTGTATGAATAAACAATGCATTTCGTTTTTTCCATTCGCAGTGCCGGAACACAGCCAAAAGAGCGAGCAACGCAGTGAGGTCCATTATTTATTTATTTAAAGAATCCTGCAGGCCCATTTAAGGCCCTAGCAGGAGAGGATACAAATGCATTCAAGTAATGAATTATACATGATATATACAGTTGGATCAGTGCAAAGACACACCAAGCACTGTAACGACAAAAATCAAAGCAGAAAATTGATATCAAGACAAACTAAAACAGGTTGGTGCTTATATATGCCTATATGCCCTATAAGCTCTACATTAATACCAACACAGCAGAATACCACAACTCTCTACACCTGTGTCGGGTGCGTGCAACTGTAAACGTCCGTACAAATGTCTCAAGCACTTTTTCTTTTCAGGTACAGGCTGTGAGTGGATGCGGGAGAAACAAGCTGTTGCTCGACAACTACCAGCAGTATTTTCCCCAAATAGGGCCAAAGAAGAAAATTAAAAATAAAAAGGCAATGTTTGCCAAATAGCGGCCAACATCACAGAGGCTGT